TGCACAATCAGCTTGTAACACTCCAAAGAGAAAGGAAAACTTGAAATCGCATCATATGACCCCTTTAACTCAAGGTGTGCACCTAAACGGTCAAATACACGCAAAAATGTGTCAAAATGCGGCGCTTAGTGATTATTCATGTAAACCTTCGTTGGTCATGTAATAAATAAACGTAAAGAGTTGAGAATGAAAATACACTTGTAACGGTAAATTGGATCCGTGCGGCTCTTAAAGTGACAGCGAGCTATAGTCCTGCTGCCGACTGTGTGCTTAATATTAACTTATTAATTAATTAACAAAAGACAAAGAGAAAACCACTCACTGCACTTGACTGAATTAATTTTGTTGCTTTAATAAGAAACAAAGGAAGTTTAATTCTTAAAGTGAAGACAACACTGTTTTATTTTACATTTGATTATTCAATTTCTGTAGTAGGCTGTGAGCTAAATACTTTAGACTTGCATAAAAAAAACAAAGCACTGCAGTGTTTCCCACATACCTACACTCTATGCGTGGTAGCACTTCCCCAGGGGAAATATAGGCTATATATAAAACAGCTGACAGGCTGATTGATTGAAAATGCAAATTAATTCTCTGCCAGCAGGAGGCGCTTTATGAGCGGCAGAAATAGTGATTTCCCCGGTAACGGCTGTAATCAAAGCAGTGCTGCGCTCATTAACGCTGCTTTATCGGGCATTATAGGAAAGATTAAATGAAAATGACATCGAAACTTTTCTAAAGACAGTCAGTTCCCTTCAAAGATATGACTCATGCCGTGTTTTGACTGAAACGTGCAGTGCTCATATTTAATCAATGAAATGAAGTGAAGTGAAGTGAAGTGAGGTGAGGTGAGGTGAGGTGAGGTGAGGTGAGGTGAGGTGAGGTGAGGTGAGGTGAGGTGAGGTGAGGTGAGGTGAGGTGAGGTGAGGTGAGGTGAGGTGAGGTGAGGTGAGGTGAGGTGAGGTGAGGTGAGGTGAGGTGAGGTGAGGTGAGGTGAGGTGAGGTGAGGTGAGGTGAGGTGAGGTGAGGTGAGGTGAGGTGAGGTGAGGTGAGGTGAGGTGAGGTGAGGTGAGGTGAGGTGAGGTGAGGTGAGGTGAAGTGATATGTGGCCAAGTATGGTGACCCATACTCGGAATTTTCGCTCTGCATTTAACCCATCCAAGTGCACACACAGTACTGGACACACCCCCGGAGCAGTGGGCAGCCATATTGCTGCGGCGCCCGGGAAGCAGTTGGGGGTTTGGTGCCTTGCTCAAAGGTCTCATCTAAGTCGTGCTATTGAGGGTGGAAAAGAGTGCTGGTTATTCACTCCCCCCACCGACAATTCCTGCCGGACCTGAGACTCGAATCCACAACTTTCAGGTTACAAGTCCGACCCTCTAAGGCCATGACTGCCCCACAATCAAAGCCTTTTGGAATTTTTGGCAAATATAGCTGATGTGGCAAAAAGTGTTCACTGACATTGAACAGCCAATACATACATATTAAAACTGAGAATACATACTCAAGTTAGGATGTAAAATGGAAACTGGATACTGCCAGTGAGCTTAATGGGTCAGCTCTTGCCCCACGTTGCACTACTGTCATTGTCAGAGGCACACAGGCAGTTGTCCAGGATGTGCAATTAAGCTAATCTTTTAAGTTTTTCTTAACTCTTGCTGTCCTCAAACTGATATTTCTGAGCTGTTTCCCTGAAATCAATGAAAATTGGAGAATGCAGAACTATGTGATTTTGCTTTTCATTCTGATCAATGCAGTGTTCGTATCTGTTACATCGGAAAACCGAAGTTGCTTCATTTCCGCAACAAGCAGACACCAAACCACAGAGTGATCTTACCAGGTTGTTGAGGATGGGCATGCCACCTTTTACTGCCAGTGATTCACGAAGGAGAGTGAGTCACAAAAGACTTCCTGTAAGCCCTGGTGCTATATGTGCACAAGTCCATAGCAGTATACCCATATGTCTTTTTGACAGTCAAAACAATTTGGTTTTGAAACAGCATTACCCATTTCAAATTCTTAGAACAGCTACTTTAGCATAGAGTGTTAAGCGCTCTCAAATCGTAGTTCAAACTCTGTATATTTACAATGGAATGGTTTGATACTTAACAGAAAAGCAGAAGGCAAAATTCTTAGAAAATGTGTCACTGTATTGATCTGGACAATTTAGTGCATGTGTTAGGGTTCCATGACATGAACACAAAGAAATTACATCTTTATTGTTACTGTGCCATGGTTTCCTCCCAAATTTTCTAACTGGATTTGACTCTTTCACTACATTTGTAAAATGCGGACTACTTCTAAATGTGTCCATCCATACAGGTTAAATATGATGGTAATCACAAGCATCTGAGACTTAATTAAAGACTTCAGAAACAGCAACATGCTGTTGCTCAAGTTTCTGTTTGGTACGCTGGCAGTCATTTCCTCTCAATTGGCCATATGTTTATAAAATTGTTTGACGTAAGGGGAAAAAAAACACTTTAGTTTACCAACAATGAAACTACATTTAAGACAAAATGGTTTCAAATGCACTTTGCCCAGGCTGATAATGATCAACACCATCACCCACATCTTAAACCATTCTACTGAAAGCTGGATCGAAAGGTGCACTATCGAGAAGACACTTTGAAAGTAAGATGTACCTGTAACTCCGCTGATAGGGTATTGTGCTAACAATAGGTTGTGGGTTTAATTAGCAAGGAATGCACATACTAGCATTATGTAATTACTGTGAATGCACTGTAGGTCACTACCATAAACTGTTCTTTAAATTTAATTCATAGTCCAAGAATAATCATATTTAGTGCTTCTGAGTTTAGTGCTGTTTCTAAATCATGTCATTTTCTACCAGATGTCTGTTAGATCACAACACTGGAGTAGAGAACACTAAATTGTTCTCCACGCACACAGTAACTGAAATTTAAAACTGTTCAAAGAAAAGGCTCAATAAACTATCACACAGATATAATACACTGCACATCAATATCTCTTCCCTTTTGAACTTTTCTTTGCGGAGCGCTGCGTGCTGTGATGCCATGTTGCTTCAAGCATTCTGCGCATAAGCGCTTTTAATTGTGTCGCTCTGTATTGGAGCCTTACTTTCATATTGTAGCGATCCAGTCAGTGAAACAACAACTTGACGGTTTTTTAGCTTGCTTTTTATTCACGAGAGCGCCCGAGGCAAACCCCACGCTTGAGCTATACTCTCTCTCTGAACTCACAAACTTCCAGAACCTTTCCCTCAGACTCCACCCACCCACGAGTGCGCAGACTTGTTCTTCAGAAGAACACCCACCCCTTAAAGCCCCCATGCAAAAAGAACACAAAACACAGGAACAGAACATATTTGACTTAAATCACACCTGACAGCATAACACACTTTTTCAGACTTGCAACACTGCCCCCCCCTCACAGAGTTCCTCGACCCCGAGGGAACGAACAAAGTCCCGGAACCGTCCCGGCGGCCTTCTGACTCTCTGAGGCCGCGGCTGCCCCAGCTGTGTTACTGTCACCGGGCTATCTAAATGCAACAGTTGCAGCTCAAGAACCGGTGTGGCTGCATGGGGGACTGCCAGAGGACTGGCAGTGCTCGGCTGCGGTCCTGCCTCGCCCTCTGGAGCAGGTATATGCGTAGCGGAGGCCGGTGTCACGGCTGCAGCGGCACCTCCTTTGTAAGGTGCCAATCTATCCCGGTGCACGGCCACCTTCCTACCCCTTGGAGGCAACTGAACCCGGTAAACAACTTCGCCAATTCTTTCTAGTACACTACATGGCCCGACCCACTGGGAGTCGAGCTTAGGGCCCCTGCCATTCTTCCTCTGAGGGTTGTAAACCCACACCAACTCTCCCGCTGTGAAATGCCGCCCTTTTGTTTTTAGGTCATAATTTCGCTTCTGCCGGGTCCCCGCTTTCACCAACTGCTTCTTTGCAAAATTATGAGCGACTTCCAATGAGTTCTGAAGAGTTCTAGCAAACTCAGGGCCCGGGGGCACAGCAGGTGCATCAGGTGGCCTCCCAAAAACCATCTCTCCTGGTGTTCTGATCTCGCGCCCCAACATCAAAAGGGCAGGTGTGCAAGAGGTTGAGTCTTGCACAGCAGATCGGCATGCCATTAGAATGAACGGCAAGTGCCTGTCCCAATCTCGTTGATGTTTAGCAGTCACAATGGCCAGCTGTGCTGCCAGGGTCCTATTAAACCTCTCTACGAGGCCGTCGCTTTGAGGGTGCAAAGGGGTGGTTCTAGTTTTGTGGATCCCCAATTTGTCACACATTGCCGCGAAGACACGTGACTCAAAGTTTCGGCCTTGGTCACTATGTACCGATTCTGCTACCCCAAAGCGGCAGAACATGCCATCTACCAATGCGTCTACCACTGTCTCGGCTTCTTGGTCAGGCAGTGCGTAAGCTTCTGGCCATTTAGTGAAATAATCCATAGCCGTCAGCACAAACCTGTTACCCCTGTCAGAGCGTGGAAAAGGACCCATTATGTCCACCCCCACCCTCTCCATTGGACCCCCTACGGGGAATTGTTGAAGGGCCGCGAGGGACCGGCCAGACGGCCCCTTGCGGGCGGTGCAATCATCACACCGCCGACAAAAATCCTCCACATCTCTTCTCACGAGCCCCCAATAAAAACTCTGTCTGACACGTTTGAGTGTTTTCGAAACCCCAAAGTGTCCAGAGCCCACTGTCCCATGGGCAGCCCTGATAACCCCCTCTTGTAGTGACCTGGGTACCACCACCTGCCACCTCCCCTCCCCAGAAATTAAATATATATATATATATATATATATATATAATTATAATTATTTTTTTTTTACTTAAAAAAACAAAACAAAAAAACAGCTGATTTAGATTATTGCATCCCAGAAGTATTTATAATGATTAAAATTGTTCTTTCTTTGTACAGAACGGTCACATGGACTGTGGAGTGGGCTTATCACATGAGCAAATGAAAGCTTTGGATCGGCAAGCGCAAAGGCCACTTAATTTCAGGTGACACGTTCATGCTGATCTCGGTAAAGCTACAATCCAAGACAATTCCAGCATAATATTAACATGTTGATGCTTTTATCCGCAGCCCACTACTGCGATGCAAGAGTAAGGAGTCTTTAGCTTCTGAATCGTCCAATCAGACCAGCGGCTATCAGTCCGGCTACCACTCTGATGATGCAGAAGCCCCCATATACGCCAACGAGGAGATGATCCTGAAGAGAGACATTCGGATGAAACCTCCACTGCCCAAGAGAAATGACAAGTTCGGCGCAGAGGTCCGTTATAGTGCGCCCCCAGTTTAACATCTATAGCGCGTCAAACAGTCCTCCTCTTTATGTTATTCAGAACTTTAATGTAGTAGCTCAGCCAAAAATGAACATTTCAGGTTCATAATTTACTCACCCTCAAGTTGTTCCAAACCTGTATGATTTTCTTTCTTCCTCTGAACATAAAAGAAGATACTTTGAAGAATGCTAACCAAACAGTTGACTGTAGCCATTGACTTCCATAGTATGGAAGAAAAAAAATACTACTATGGAAGTGGCTACCAGCAACTATTTGGTTACCAGCATTCTTCAAAATATCCTCATTTGTGTTCAGCCGAAGATAGAAATGAATACAGGTTTGGAACAAATTGAGGGTGAGTAATTGATGACAGAATTTTCATTTTTGGCTGAACTATCCCTTCAATGTAATAGTTTGGCCAAAAATAAAAATTTGGACATAATATCCTTACTTCTTTTTAAATACAGTATGATTTTATTTCTTCTCTGCTCTATTTATAACAGAATGTCCAAGCTGCTCTTTTCCGTACAATTAAAGTGAATGGTGACTACAACAAGATTTTCATTAATTGCATAATACCTTAAATTACGCCTGGTTTTTCACATAAAGCTATCAAATGGCTTGAGAATATTTAGAATACGAGACATATGAGCTACTTTTACGATGCTTTTACAATGTTTTTGTTCATTTTGGAGCTTGTCAGCCCTTGGTCACCATCCACTTTCATTGCCTGGTAGAATGCAGCTTTTTTTGTTCCTTAGAAAGTCATACAGGTTTAGAACAACATGAATGTGCATAAATGATGACTAATTTTCATCTTTTGCGAACGTTCCTTTCATGCTCATGCGACAGAACAGCCAAAGGGCAATTTCCTACCTAAAATGAGTAGCAACCTTCTAACATTTCATCCCATATTAGGTTTTTCCTGCCATTACTCATAATGACTCCTGTATCGCATTCGCAACCACATGACTGCATCATCCAAAAACAACAAACTCTTAAATTGTCTGTCGAGCTTCGATTGAGGTGCACCATTATCGCTTCTTTCGTAATTGTACGCGTAAAGGAACCACCAACTCATTTGAACTGTTAACTATTTCTTTTATCAAGAAAGCCTTAGCGATACAATCATGTTTACACAGACTGCGGAGCAAGAGTGGTCTCTCAGAGTGTCCACTACACTTCCTGAGCAAAGGCATGCCCTCTTCCTACCGCACAGGAAATAGCAACTGGAATGTCAGACAATTGAGTGTGTGAATGTTTTCCTTTTTTTTTTGTCTTCATCTTTTGCATTGTCTTTAAACGAATCGTGACCAGACTTGTTCTCCCCCGGCCAGACGGCCCCTTGCGGGCGGTGCAATCATCACACCGCCGACAAAAATCCTCCACATCTCTTCTCACGAGCCCCCAATAAAAACTCTGTCTGACACGTTTGAGTGTTTTCGAAACCCCAAAGTGCCCAGAGCCCACTGTCCCATGGGCAGCCCTGATAACCCCCTCTTGTAGTGACCTGGGTACCACCACCTGCCACCTCCCCTCCCCAGTGGCAGGGTCCTTCCACTCCCTCTGAAACACCCCGTCTTGCAAGCGCAGGACCTTAAATTTGGCCCATAAGTTCTTTGTGGACAGCGAGACAATGGCCACTTCCTCCCACGGAGGTCGCTGCTGAGCTTGGACCCACTGTATTACTGGCTGCACGTCTGGGTCTTCCTCTTGCAGCCGCCTCCAGTCCTCTACACTCACTGTCTCAACTGCCAAACACACTGGCGTATCACCATGCGTACAACCCAAAGAGGTACTACTGGCATCTGGGTTCCCCAGCTCTCTGTCCCTGGCCTCCCTCTTGTCACAGTACCGACATCCGACGGCTGAGCAAGGCCGACGAGACAGAGCATCTGCATTTGCATGTCCTGACCCTGCCCGGTGTACTACCCTCATGTCGTACGTCTGAAGTTTCTCAATCCAGTGTGCCAACTGGCCCTCCGGCTCTTTAAATGACATTAGCCACTGGAGAGCGGAATGGTCAGTACGTACAGTGAAAAGTAACCCGCACAGGTAATACTTAAAGTGCCGAACTGCAAAAAGCACAGCAGCAAGTTCCCTTCTGGTGACACAGTATCTGCGTTCAGATTTGTTGAACGTTTTGCTGTAGTAAGCCACGACCCGTTCCCCCCCAGACCCCACCTGAGAGAGAACTGCCCCCATACCCACATTGCTGGCGTCTGTGTCCAGAATGAAGGAAAGAGCCGAATCAGGGGGAGCCAATATAGGGGCTGTGACCAGAGCCTGTTTCAGGGCATCAAAAGAGTTTTGACACTCCTCAGTCCACGTGAAGGACTTATCCTTCTTCTGCAGGCAGAAAAGTGGGTCTGCAATGGTAGAAAAACCCTGCACAAACCTCCTGTAATATGAGGCTAATCCCAAAAAACTTTTGAGCTGCTGCGATGTTGTAGGAGTGGGCCACCCGCTCACTGCCTGCACCTTCTCTTCCATTGTGCCAATCCCCTGCCCCCCCAGCTTGTGCCCCAATAATGTCACCTCCCTCCTAAAGAAGTGACATTTCTCTGGGTGTAGCTTCAAGCCAGACTCGCTAATGCAACTCAGCACTCACCTGGGAGCCTCTAGAGAGGCCTGAAAAGAACTACCATGGACCAGGATGTCATCCAGGTACACCAGACACTCTGACCGTGGAATACCTGATAACACCCTGTCCATTAACCTGGCAAAAGTAGCCGGCGCATTGCAGAGGCCAAAGCAGAGCACCCTGAACTGCCATAACCCCTACTTGTACAAAAAGCAGTTTTTGGTCTGGCTTCCGGAGCAAGTGGTACCTGCCAATAGCCAGTACGCAGGTCCAGGCAAGTGAACCATGACGACCCAGCTACAAGGTCCAGTGATTCATCCACACGAGGGATGGGATACGAGTCCTTCCTAGTGACCTCATTAAGGCGCCTATATAGTCAACACAAAATCTCCACTGACCCCCCTTCTTAGGCACCATGACCACCGGTGGCGGAAAGACCCACACCGAATGGCGTAATGTCTTTCCCCCTACCGTCAGCCCCTCAAATTGACCAAAACGCCGTCTCAGTGCCCCGACAAGTGCCTTATAATCCTGTCTATTTTCAGGGCAAAGCAATAACAAACAGTTCAGAGCATCATCTGTAAGGCACATAGCCAATTCAAGAGCTTTGCGGTCCTCCGACCAGTTCCCAGCATGAGCCAACAGTTCAAACTGTGCGTGAAAAGCTTCCCAATCAGCTTTACCTGAGAATTTGGGGGTTTTAACAGCCACCGCGGCAGCACGGGCGCCACCGTGTTCATTCACCTCTGTCAACAGCGCGGCTCCGTGGGCGCCGCCATGTCTGTTTACATCCGACAACAGCGGGGTTTCGTGCGCGCCGCTGTGTCTGTTCGCATCCGAAGCCAGCGCGGTCCTGTGGGCGCCGCCATGTCTGTTTACATCCGACAACAGCGGGGTTTCGTGCGCGCCGCTGTGTCTGTTCGCATCCGAAGCCAGCGCGGTCCCGTGGGCGCCGCCATGTCTGTTTACATCCGACAACAGCGGGGTTTCGTGCGCGCCGCTGTGTCTGTTCGCATCCGAAGCCAGCGCGGTCCCGTGCGCGCCGCTGTGTCTGTTGGATGTCCCCGTGAAAGTTCGGCAGCTCTCGGCGACACTCGGATCCGGTGGTGAAAACCCGGCATCTGCAGCCATCCTCCTCGTAGCCTCCTTCACACGAGCCTTGTGCGAATCCAGATAGCCATCTGTTGCGAATCGATCAGAAGCCCACGCCGAAGCGCCCAGAGCCTCCTGAAACATTCGGCTCGCGCCTGGTTTGGATTTAATTTTTTCTCAAGTCTGCTTCTGCATCGTGTTGCCGGGACAATAATGTCAGTAATCCCGTAGACCAACTGGATTCGGTTAGGTCACTTCTGACACCAGTGTAGCGATCCAGTCAGGGAAACGACAACTTGACGGTTTTTTAGCTTGCTTTTTATTCACGAGAGCGCCCGAGGCAAACCCCACGCTTGAGCTCTACTCTCTCTCTGAACTCACAAACTTCCAGAACCTTTCCCCCAGACTCCACCCACACACGAGTGCGCAGACTCGTTCTTCAGAAGAACACCCACCCCTTAAAGCCCCCATGCAAAAAGAACACAAAACACAGGAACAGAACATATTTGACTTAAATCACACCTGACAGCATAACACACTTTTTCAGACTTGCTACAATATATTAGAAAATAAAGGCGTCAAGCTTGAA